TAAACTACAGTACTTAAGTTAGTTGTTTTTGAACCCATAACATCACCTAACATAAAGAGTTTGCATTACTTCATCTACACTACACCTAACAGAAAGAGTTTGCAAGACTATCAGCTACACTACACCTAACAGAAGGAGTTATCATTCATTAGGACTTCTTATAGCCTTTACACGAGTTGACCAAAACAGAACCTAACAACCTTAGTTGTTGGCATGTACAAAAAAAATGACTCAAATGCTTGCTTTCATGAGTTCTAAGGCTGAGTTAGTGGTGGCAGGCTTTCATGCAAGTCCACCATAGAAGCTTGGGTTAAAGGAACTGGCGGTTGATCTCCATGAGGGTGGCCATTAGCCTCATTCAGCTGCAAAAGTTGGAACAAGTTCGAGTAAGTACTTAGGCAGTTTATTTTCAACAATTCCCACCGTTATAATTCAGGCCACTCACCCTAACATATTGGTTCTCGTGTTCTCATCGACATAAACACCCACTCCAGCAGTTGCACGACATGGTTCCCTTTCAACGGTAGCTCGATCGCCAAACATTCAATCTCACATCCTTGACAACGGTTCTCATCGACTTGATTAACTCGTTGACTTCTTGCACAGGAATGTGGCAGTCCCACTTTCCTGATCATGAAACACTTGTTCCTCCTGAACCAGCTAGCATAAAGCTTCCACTTGTAGTTGCCATCTTTGCACTTCACCTCCCTCCTTGTAGGGTTGCTCCGAACCCATCGCAGGCAAGCACCAGCTGCCACATCATGCCACACCACAACATCCTTGAAATGCTCCGCACTAGCAAACTTCATTTTGCATACAAACTTTAAAGCCTTGTGATCACATGTGGGATCGTAATGTGGTGCATCATCGTCCAGATCACCACCTTCCTCATCTGACAAGTTCGGTCTGACCACGGTTGTCACCAATTGTCAATGTTTTCTTCTGCAAGTAACTCGTTAGCAATTCCCAACGTGAATGTTGCGTGCCTGTCTTTGTGATACCCAACTTGGATTCTTCATTCATTCACTTCACAACTTGCAGTGGCGGTGTCACGTTGATGTCCGAACTCTCAAAACCATGTAAACTTACATGTATTTGGAGAATATAGTAGATGGTAAGACCCCCTATCCCGTTCATATTCTCCAAACGTAAATTTTTAGCTCTCCTAGTTCATAACCATGTGTTATGCATCCATCAATAATCAAATCTGGACCCTTCATTTAGAAAATTCAGATCTAAGGATGGAGAATTAAAGACCATTTTTATTTTCCCTAGCTTTCTTAATCGGCTCATATCTTTTTCGTTTTTAACTCGGATTTTAATTATTATTTTTTTGCACAGGTGGAACGAGTTCATCGTACTCTACAAAATGAGATCAATTTTCAATATTTTTTTAGAACAAAAAATTCTGACTTCTCGGTACCAACTGCATACCATATGGTATTTTCTTTGTTTTTAATTCATTTTTGAAAACGTTTGCACAGAAGGGACGAGTTCATCATGATCTATTGGATCTACAAATTTCTGGGTGAACAAATTACAGGACCAAAAAATACCACACAATACCACTCTGGTACGGGGTGGTATCTTATGGTACATAATGTTAAAAGTCGTAAATGACAGTTAATATATTTCTACTATCATGTATTCAACCATCTTACAGTCTTGGTTTGTTCATACCACCATGGTACGCTTTTCAAACCATAGATATGCTCTTATTTCAATACCAGTCAATGCCATATGGTATAGTCTGGTAAAAATGGCTCAATTTTTTTTGTTCGAAAAATATATCAAAGTGGATATCATTTTGAAGAGCACAATTAATCTGATCTGACTGTGTAAAAAAAATTAAATTTCGACTTAAAACGAGTGAGAAATCGTCCATCAAAGATTTAGGAGGGGAAATTAAAGACTTTCCATGAGAGAGATGTTGATGTCATGCTGCTATGGACCGGTTACTCATGGTTACTCACCATAAGATTACTCACCTCATCCGTTCCCCAAATTTTTGGCTTCCCTAACAATTTGCACACGTCTTTATTTCATCCATCACTAGTGAAACCCTCAACCTATTGTTAGGTCCGATCTGAATGCCCTACGAGACAACATGAAAGATCACAATGAAGAAGTTATAGCCCGATTGGGACCTAACACGATCGACCAGGCCTTCACCTGATTTGAGAAAAAAAGATCAATGAGTGGGGCTTCTGAAAGAGAAATAGAAAAGAACACATGCCGTACTTGCTCGGTGAAACAACGGTGGAGAAGGAGATGGTTAATGGAATCCTCTATGAACTGACAGAGAGAATATCGATTCGACGCAAATAGAAGCCACACTTCTTCATATTATTGATGAAAGATACGGTTCTGTGATGTACGAGCTAAGGCAAAAGCACAAATCGATCTTGTCAGACATCAACATTTCCAAATATTTCTCTCGGTATAGGTGACAAATAGATTTGATTGGTAGATCTATGAATAAAATGGATAGGATTTAAAGTGACATCTAAACATCGGACAAATATGTAAATTTTGAAAAGTTTTGGTACTAAAATATCATAATAAAATTGTGGATACCAAAACGTAATTTTTCAACAATATTTTAGAATAAAAATAAAATTTAAGTATCAAAATGTAATAATATAAAATTGATAGGTACTAAATTCACTTACCTATTGCATATTTCGACTTCCCTCAACCTACTTCCATCCCAAATATATTATTTTTCTATCAATTTGCTTCTAACAAACATAGCCCCATTATATAGACATTTTTGTTTTTTACTCTGTTTAGGTATTTATTGTTCATAAATCCATTAAATTTTTATTTATCCCAACACTTTTCTTATACTTCATTGTTGGTTTAAGAATGATTTGAACAACAAAGCTCACAACATATATGCAAACATTCATACTTCAATTTCTCTCAAGCCTCCATCATTCCCAAAGGGAGTTGCTAAAGGTCGCCCTTAAAATTGCTAAAGGTCGCCCTAAAAAGAATCAAAGCTACACTTTTAACCCCCTTAGCTTCTTTACCTTCCCTTCCTCAAACAAAAATCACTTGGACTAAAAAAACACTATCTAAGGAGAGAAAAATCCATCATCGTCATTTTGAAGCCGATATCGTCGGTAGGACGTCTGAATCATGAGTAGCGACTCCGACGAGGTAAAAACATGAACTGAAAAAAGAAAAAAAAAACACAAAAAATGGGAACCGCGGGTCACTTGCGGTTCGACCATGGTTCAACCGCAAGTGACCTGCGGTTGGACCATGGCTGGACCGCAAATCACCTGCTGTTGTACCATGGCTGGACCGCAATTGACCTGCGGTTCGGCCATGGTTCAACCGCAGGTCACTTGCGGTTGGGCATTTTTTGGGGTTTTTTTTTTCGTTGAATAATTTTCTATATGATTTATGATTTGTTCCATGAAATAATTTGTTGGGTTTTGATTTATATAATTTTCTAGATTTATTTGCATAAATATTTTTGGAATTGAAGGATTTAGCATTAGAAATTAAGATTAGATTTGGCCTTAAATTAAGATTAGATTTAATTTGGTTTTAATCTAGAAAATTAAGATTAGATTTTGCATTACAAATTAAGATTAAATTTATTGCATAAATAATAGATTCGCATATGAAGTTATGATGATTATTAAATTTAATACTGATAACATTGCAGGATATTGGAAGTTACAATCCGAATGGCCATGATTACACCTCGGATTTCATTGATGGCGTGAAATACACTACGGAGTTGCAAGCATATGAAGCAGCTACTGAGATTGCCAAGGGTTTTGGGTTTTATTTGGTGAGGGCATCGAACAAAAAAATAAGAATGAAGGTACTTGGCGACATTACTTACATTGCACTCATGGTAGGAAGAAGAAGTCGAAGGAACCTGATCCGAGTAAGGAAAGGAGGCCTCTTACATCTACTGAAAAGTTGGGGTGCGAGTTTCAGATCAAGCTTGAGCGGTCAGGTGATGGATATTGGTTGATCCTAGGGGTGGCAAATACAAAGAATCCTGGTGCTAATTTGGGTTTCCACAATCATCAGTTGGAGCTATTTCCGGAGGGATCAAAGGGAAGGAATGTTTTGACTACAGAGGATAAGCAATACATCAGAGAGCTGAGATCAGTCGGTGTCCCACCAAGGAATATCCACAAGGCAGTGAATGACAGAAAAGGTGCAAATGGAACACACAACAGAAAGCAAATTTATAACGAGTGTCACAAGATAAGGAAAGAAGAGCTTGGTCAGATGACAGCCTTACAGTATACTTTCCGCATGGCGCAGGAGAAGGGTTACTATGTGCAGTATATGGATGATCGTAATGTGCTTACACACTTGTTCCTAGCCCACCCCGAGTCAATAGTGATGTTGCGAGCTTGGCACCATGTGATCGTGATAAATGCAACATACAAGACCAATAAGTATGATATGCCTTGGGTTGAGATTGTCGGCATGACACCAGTGGGATTGAACTTTGTCATTGCATCTGCAATAGTGTACGACGAGACGAATGAGTCGTACCAGTGGCTTCTGACGCGTTTGCAACATCTTCTTGGCCCCATTGTTCCAGATGTGTTTGACAGTGACAAGACAGGAGGATTGGTTGAGACCGTGGGGGTAATGTTTCCATCATCGACTCATATATTATGTCTTTGGCATATGGATAGGAATGTGAGAGCAAAGTGTCTAGCGGAGGTGCGAAGGACGACTCATTGTGGTATAAATGCAGCCAAACCGACAGTGGATCATATCATGGCGTCTTGGCAACGTGCTGTATATGCATTGACAGTGGAAGACATGGATACTGCCTTAGACAATTTCAGACGTAGTTGGGGAGTACAGTACCGACGTCTTTGGGGGTATATGACAGCTGAGTGGTTACCAGTTAGACACATGTGGGCTAAATGTTATACCAATCAACTGCGGCATTTGGGTAACAACTCTAATAGGGTTGAAGCTGCACATTCCTCCTTCAAGAAGTGGCTTCAATCATCAATAGGACGAAGGCGATCACGACTCTTATCCACAAAAAGCGTGGATCCCAGTAACACAAATAGGTAACACTGCACCTCCATCTCCTTAATCTTCAGCTCTCCCCCACGCACCAACAATCCCTCTGCATGCATAAAACCATTATCGTACCACTTAGACTTCCACTTACCACCAACCTGAGCATCCACCGAAAGTCGAACTAGACCACCCATGTCTGACTTAAGAGTATCCTGCGACGCCTCATCTCCCATCAGCTCTCCGTCAACCGGTATCCGAAGAATGTGATGCACATCGTGTAGAAGGATCGAAATCTCTCCAAACGACATGTGGAAGGTGTTTGTGTCCGGCTGCCACCTCTCCACAAATGCCGACAGTAGAGCCATGTCTAAATGCTGCATCATGCACCCTGTCAAGTGAGACAATCATGTGGCTTCAACCATCTCCGTGGAACCCTCTGCACTCCACTTATATCGCCTCAAAGTCTCTACAGCTCTCGGCCTATGGAAGCCGTCCAACACTCCACAGTCCTGCTCAGGGGAATTCCACAGTACAAAGCCAATGTGACCTCCAAAGCTAGGGATCACATCGGGAATCACTAGTCCACCTGAACACATCAGAAACTCGGCTGTAAGAAACCATGACATATCTTTCCTCGTGGTCTTCCTCTTCCTATTTCCATCTCCGCCATCCTCGCTACTAGGTCTGGACGCATAGCGTCCATCGGGCCCACGGAAGTGGGAGGAGGCAGTAGAAGATATCCCGACCCACGCCGTCTTCCCCACGCCTAAATAAGCTTGAGGTGGGGCATCCCCAACCTCAGCATCACCAGCACGATCACCAACATCATCACCAGCATCATCATCAGCATCTGGGGCATTCCCAACCTCAGCATCACCGTCATCATCATCATCCTCGTCAATGGAATCGCTATCTGGTGAAGGAGTACTGGTAGTACCTCGGCTAAGAGACAACTGCCCCACAGTAGGGTGGCCGTCAGGACGCACTACATCCGCCTTCTTCTTCTTCCTTCTAACCTTAGGTGGATTTTTTTCCTTCATTTTCCTTCCTACCAGTCGCCGTAAGTCTACAAGCACGACCTTCCATTCTCTCCTTATTTCTCGCCTTAATCATATCCGGTTTACCCATTCCATGTCCAGACATCTTCAAAAAAAAGTTTGAATTATTAATAATGGAGTACATAAAGTAATTAATTTAAGATTTTCATAATTAAAATTATAAAACTAATAGTTTTAACATTTATGTTACGTTCTATGTAATAATTATTTACTTTTTAATCAAGGTAAAATTATTAATAATTAAGTAGATAAACAAATTACTTTGAAATTTTGATTATTATAATGATAAAAACACATTTTTAATTTTTTTATAATGTTCTTTAATTTGTTATCATTAATTAACATTTATCGAATACGTTTTTTAAATTTTTTTATATCATTATTGACAAAATATATAACTAAATTATTTTTATTAAATATTTTTTTAAAATAATTTTATTATTATTAGCATTTATTGAATAATAAAAAACAGAATTAAAAAAAAAGCGGTCAACGCGCGGTTGGACCGGCGGTCAACTCGCGGTTCAGCCAACGACTGACCGCGGTCAACGCGCGGTTGGACCGATGGTCAAAAACGCGTTGACCACGGTCAGCCGTTGGCTGAACCGCGCGTTGACCGCGGTTTAGCCAACGGGTGACCGCGAGTCACTTGCGGTTGGACATACCTTCTCCGGTGGCGGGCGACAGCTGATGGCGACTGCGGGAGGCGGCGCGGCGGGAGGCGGCGCGGCAGCGACTGCAGGCGGCGGGAGGCGGCGCGGTGGGAGGCGGCGGGCGGCGGTGGGTGGTGGCTGGCGGTGAGGTGGAGAGTTGCAGAGGTGAGAGGAGTTGAGGAGGGAGGGGGAATGAATTTGAATTGTGAATAAGAAGTTGTTTGTTTTGAGTTTTTGCTTAAGGGTATATAGGTAATTTTAGATTTAAGTTAGGGTGACGTTTAGCAATTCTTAGGGCGATATTTAGCGATTCAGTTCCCAAATTCATTCGGCATAGCTACCGTAGCTAGATTTCCGCAATCTCTCCTCTCCAATCAATTTCAAATATTAATATTTCATTTCCAATCAAAAGACAACATTTACTTTATGACTACCTCTAGCTAAGTAATGTGATGTGCTTGTTATAATATCAGGGTTGGAAAAAACGAAGAACTAGGTTAAAAGTAGACTCCATTTAATCATTGACGTATATGATAATTTGAATTCTCTATGTAAAGTGGTTGTCACCAAGTTGAAGAAAATGTTACATGCTGGCAATATTTGGCCTAAACATTTAGATGCATTAAAGACAAAAAATAATAATAATAATAATAAAAGACCATGCACAACTCATGAGGTTGAAAAGCTTTGGTCAATTGAAGATAAGATGGTCGTGATTCGTGAATATGATCTTCCTACTAGTGATGAAGTCGTAACTCTTATTACTTGACATCATCGTTGATCCTAGTCAAGAACATACTAAGTGTGTCGATCCTTTCCATTAGATGAAACTTGTATAATAAATAATACCACCTAATCAAATAAAAATACAAACAAAAGAAACTTATCGACCATCGAGTGGGCAGAAAGCTACTACAACCATATATTCTATGGGAGTGAAACGAGCATGGACGAGGTAATAAGCCAAGGTTGTCAAACTGGTTTAAGCCATTGAGTCGGTCAAGCAATTGGTGTTTGAGGTTTAATGGTTTGATCGGGGTCCGACCGGTTTGAGCCGTTGAAGACTTTTTCTAAATATATATACAAATAAGATAGTAATTAAAGATTTAATGACTGAAATAAAATTTAGGGCTAATACCACTACAACACCCGAACTATCGAAGAAATGCCACTTGTGTCCTATTCTTTTCAATATTCCATTTATGTCCTGAAATATGATACTTTGTGCCATTTGTATCCTGACGATTTTGTTGACCGTTATCTCTAACTGTTGACCTGACGGTGGTCAAAGAGATGTTGACTTTTGCTGACATGGAAGGAAATGTGGCATCCACGTAGATGCCACATCAGCAGACAAATCATATAAATTAAATTAAATAAAAAATAAAAAATGGATTTTTATCACTCCTACCCCTCTCTCTCACGCCGCTTCTGATTTCAATTCCAATTCCGACGACGAAGACTTCGACGGCGATTTATTCCTCCACCGCCGCCGCCGAAAAATTACAGTACCGTTGCCGCGCCTTCAGCAATCCGAACCACGCCCAAGAGCCGCCAACTTGTAGTAGTCCTCCTCCTTCTGTTGTTAACGTACACCACCATCACGTGCGCCGATCTCGACAGAGTACACCTGTTGGTACACCTCACGACGACGCCATTTTATCCCCTGTTTTTCCGTTTTTGCTCCTCCATTAACTTACTCTGTCAGGGAGAGGGCGACGACACTCTTAGCAATCTGAATCTGAGTTTTGTTTGGTAAATCTGACCGAATCTGTGAGCGGCCTGTTGCCGACAGATCGTGCTCTGTCTCCTTTGGCGCCGACGAATCCATCCTCTGTCCTCCATGAAATTGACCATCGTTCTTGCTCAGAAGCTCCGCCGCGGCGCCGCCAGTCCTCATGCCCTAATTGCAGCAATGAGCGCAGCCCGGGAAGCAAGAACGAAGGCGCCAAGTGCTGAGTGTGAGTGATCTTTTCCCCAGCTCGTCGGCCTTATTTGGGGATTTTGATGGAGCCTTTTTTCATATGCTTTTAATGTCTTCGTCATGAACACCACCCAGTTGCAATTCCCTCCCCCTGCTGCAAATCCCTAAATAAAAAAGAACCCTAATTTTGGCGATGAAGACAAGGCCAATGATGTGAGGAAGGAGATGAAGCTCAAGCTTCCACTCGGCCTGAATTCCCCAGGTCGCCGTAAAAACTGTCGAATCCCCAATTTCTCTCTCTCTCTCTCTCTCTCTTGGCGGAATGTAAAATGGTCGACGGGAGAAAAGAAGGGAGGAAAGAGAGGAATATAATTTTTTACTTTTTAATTTAATTTACTATTATTTTTATACAAATTTAATCTTATAATTATTTATAATAAAAATTACACGTCATATTCCACATCAATGCTGACTAGATTTTCTGTTAACTATCAACGGTCAACCAAGGTCAACGTTAACAAAATAATAGTTCGGGATAGAAATGGAATATTGAAAAGAATAGGACACAAGTGGCATTTTGTTGATAATTCGGGTGTTGTAGTGGTATTAGCCCTAAAATTTATGTTTAATGTATCTATTAAAATCTTATTTTTCACAAAATAAATCTACTTACTTCCATGACCCACTCACTATCTCCCTTCCTTGGTTACTCTTCCTCTCTTCCCCCTCTCTTTTTCTCTCTTTAAGGGTCAGACTGGGGGGCTTTCTGAAAGCCGTTTTGAAGCCCGATTTAGGTCAGACTGGATGCAATAAGGGTACGATATGGGTTTAACCAACACTTTGGGCAATCACCCATAAAAATATCTCATTGAGCCAAACTTCTAGGGTTTGTGAGAAATGGAATGGTATTTAAAGTAATCAAATAATTAAATATGCATAATCTCTCTAGCTAGCTCGCCCACGCCGCTTTCAGGTAATGTAGACAATGTCCGTCTTAATTGGCCGAGCTGGCCTGACAAAAACCTGTGTCCCGCAGAATGTGCAGACTTCATACCGTTGTTGTTAATTGATATAGTCCACGTGACAAATCTAATTAGGCAGAGGCATTTTATACATATACGTCTGGATAATTAATTAGTTAAACCCACCCACACAATTAACGTTTATATTGCGCAGTGCATGGGGACGGGAAACCTCCAATCCCGTTACGTGTTTTATTCCTCCCTTTCTGCAATCTAAGCAACACGTCCCCGGCCGGTTAGTTCGTTCGTTACGTACAACGTACGTGCAGCCTCAAAACATGCCCACCCAGCTACTTTGGTCGGCTCAGCTCTACTACTACTACTACCTAAATGGATTATCGAAATGAGAGGGTGTGGATTGTTTTACCTTCTGATTTTGATTTGATTTGATTTGTTGATCTGAGATTTTGTTCTGCTCTGTGGTTGGAAAATGAGATAAGGGGTTTGCCGGCCGGTCTGGTTTTAGAGATTGTAACAGCCAACCAACCAGCCAGCCAGCCAGCTAGCTAGAAAGCAGCAACCCACTAGTCTTGTCCCTGACACCAGAAAGTGTGTTCTTGGTCTCTACTGCTTTCCTTTCCTTTCCTTTCCGCCCTCTCTTTCTCCCTCCCGCAATAACTCTCTCTCTCTCTCTCTCTCTCTCTCTCTCTCATCCCTTCAACCTACATCCATGTGTTGCTCCACAGTGTTTTCAATGCTCTCTGTTCTCCCTTTTCCTCTTGCATTACATAATGGACTTTCCTAATAACTCATAGGTTAATAAGATTATACCAGCAGTGGGACAACATCATTTAACCAATAACTTCTCATAGAAAGTATATATAACTCCCCCACGTTACATTGTTTTTTCTTATTTTTATTCTGATACGAATATGATATATGTACTTCATTCCTCATACAACGACATTGCATACAATGCGATTCGACAAAAATAAAAAATCAATAAGGCTCAGTTATGGCCTTCACACTTAGAACCTAGAAAACGGTGGATACATATCATCATTCGCGCACGCCGAGTATATTTGGCAACAAAATGGAAAGAGATACACCCAAAGCGGTAAAGCTCCAAATGCTACAGCTTTGTGGAAGAAGGGTAAAAGGAAATAGCAATATGACTAGGAAGGAAACATATATGATTATTATGAAAGCAGCCCCCTCCAAAGTCAAATCCCAACTGCAACAATTAAGATTCTATCTAGTTTCAACCTCCCCCGGCCTCTCTATGTATGGTCTCTCATGCAATCTTGGAGAGAGCTCCTCCCAACCCTATTTCGGGATTTATGAATATTCCACCAACCAAAACCCGATGAAATTAATCAACAATTAATCATCATTAATTAACATTACAAACCTCCCCAACACATATATCATCATCAACTAGTGTACAAACAAACTATCACCCTGAAGAAAAAAAAGTAAGTCGCAAAAAAAAATTATTATATAAAGAAAAAACCCAAAACGAAAATTTTTCCCAAACTGTAAAAACCTTCCTGTAAACTGTAAAAGATGTCGTCGACTATCAGTTTCGAAATTCGAATTTCGAAACGAAAATAGAGACCAACCCTCCCATCAGTATAAAACAAGAAACCAGAAGATGAGTAATGAAAGTGGAAAGAAATATGAATAACAAATACTTTTTTTTTTAAATAAATAAGCGGTAAAACTGTAAAAAAAAAAAAAATTACTCCTCCCTTTTTCTTCTTCAGTTGGATATTCATTCTGGGAGGACAAAAGTGGCGGGATCCTCGTTGTTAATCCAGCCGTACTTGGCCATGAATGGGTTGGCCAGCGAGTTTGGTGGGTAGCTTTGAATGCAATCGTCCCACACCGTCGCCCCGCAACCCGACCCGCTACCCGACTCCCTCATCACCTCCCACACGCAGCTGTTGCACTTGAAACCCGCCCCGAAGCTGATCATCAGGACCCGATCCCCTCTCTTCAGCCGCCGCTTCGCCTCCATGTAACCCAGCACATACCACAGGCTGCTCGCCGACGTGTTCCCCCACCTGTGCAGCGTCATCCTCGCCGGCTCCAGGTCGTGCTCGCTCAGCTCCAGGCTCGCCCCGATCCCGTCGATCACCGCCTTCCCGCCCGTGTGGATGCAGAAGTGCTCCACCCCTGTTTTGAAATTAATCACCGGCGGCTTCCCCCTCTTCGCCCCAGATCCGGCCGCGAGCCCCTTCAATTTCCTCATCGAGTACACCGCCACGAACCGGACCAGCTCCCGGACCGGCAGGATTTTGGGGGAGATTTCCCTGAGATTGTCGACGAACGCCCGGGTCGCGGCTTTCGGCAGATTCTTCGCCAGGTGGAACCCGAGCCTCCCCTGTTCGTCCTCCTTCTGGATACAGCACCCGTACGACTCGTCCTTCCCGCCGTGGTGTGTGCGGACCAGGGTCTTGAGCTTGAAGATGCAGCGGTGCCTCAACGAGCGCTTGTTGGTGAGCAGAATCGCGCACCCGCCCGATCGGAAGAGGCAATTGGCGAGGATCATGGATCTGTCGTTGCCCGCGTACCAATTGGGGCTGAGCGACTCGGAAGTGACGACGAGGGCGACCTTGTCTTTTTGTGCACGGAAGGTGTTCGACACAATGCCTACGGAGATCAAGCTGGCGCTGCAGCCCATACCGGTGAGATTGAACGTCCTGACGTCGTCCCGCATCTTGTAGTGGTTGACGATGCGGGAGGTGAGGGAAGGGACGGCGGCGAGCATCGAGACGTTGACGACGAGGAGGTCGATTTCGTCCGGTTTGACCCCCGAGCGGGCGAGGAGCTTGCCGATGGTGTCGTGGAAGAAGTCGTCCATCTCGAGGAGTCCGTCGCGGAGGGTGGGGGTCTCCTCGCGGCCCTCGAAGACCATGCGCGGGGCGTAGGTCTCCTCGCCGATGCCGGAGGAGACCATGGCCTTGAGGAGGAACTTGTACTCGACGAGGCCGAGGTTCTTGTTGCGCTTGATGACGTCGCCGCAGAACTCGGTGTCGAGCTTGCGGTCGTCGGTGGGCTTGTGGCACTCGTAGTCGAGGATGTAGCAGTGGCGGTCGCGGTGGCCGTCGAGCCATTTCCAGAGGAGGAAGAGAGGGCAGGCGAGGAGGGAGGCGTAGAGGAACACCATTATGGCGTCCATATGGGTTGGTTGAGGAACGGAAGGAGAGAGAGAGAGAGGGGAATGTGGGGGGTGGTTTTTTTTGTTGCTGTACTGAGTAAGAGGAGAGATCATGAAAGCAGAAGGATGGGGTGGGGGGACACTTATAAGAAGAGAAGAGAGGTGGGGAAGAAGATGGGGGCTTTTCTTTTTCACGTTTGGGGTTAATATTAAGGTCACTGTTCAGAAAAGTAAAGGGGAGGCCGGGAGGGTACGTAGACAACTAGACATTAGTGCCCGCTGGATCGTATAGTCTGGAAATGAAAGGGCAGTCAACCTTTTAAATTATTTTCCGATTATATACTGGGGTTGGTTGTGGACTCAATATGTCCATAATTGTGAGGTTAACTCTTTGGGGTTGTATTGGTCAATGCCGGGGAGTATTTATGTATCTAACACTGAGGTTCCTTCAAGTCATACTTTAATTAGTAGTTAATCATGATTATTAGTCGATTTGACTTTGGGGACTAGTTTGATGATGAGGTTATAATTAGGGATAACAATTTTGCCCATATCCATGGGTATTTTACTATCCAACTCAATTGGGTTGGGTATGGATTCCAAATAAATGGTAGATGGGTAGAGTTTGATAGATTTGTACCCATACCCATTTACTTGGGTTGGGTTGGGTTTTTAACACATCAATTTGGGTTTGTACCTATGCCCAAAGACAAATTACAGTTTGGTACCTAAACTTAATAGATATGCAGATCTAGTACCTAAATTTAATTTTTTTTGCATATAAGTCCTCAAAATATGTCTAATTTTTGTGTGTGTAGTTAAAACACCCTCAAGTAAATGGATATCCATATCCAACTCATACCCATTTACATTATGAAAGCAATATCCATACCTAACCCAAACCCATCTACAAACCCCCCAACCCATATACACTTCATCCAAACCCTACCCATACTAAATGGATCTATTTGGATTTGGGTAAAATTACCCATGGGTGGGTAATTGTCATCTCTAGTTATAATGGGTCAAGTTATATCCTGTGTCGCTAGTCATTACGAGAGGGAAAATTGTCCGGTTTAACTTGGTTTCCAAGATGAGAATTGTGCCAAATTTACAACTGGAAATTGGATTGGATTGAAAACAGTTTCGACCGTGATTGGATTGGATTGAAAGCGATCAGGTTCGGTTTGTGCAGGCTTGGCTCTGGGAGCCGGGAAGAGAGAACGAGGAAGCGGAAGAGATTGGGGAGCAGAGATCGATTCTGTCGAATTTTAGGGTTGTATAGGCTTGGGGGCTGGGAGCTGGGTGAGTGGGGTTGGGTTATGAGTGGCTGGCTAGGTTTAGTGTTTTCCAGTTTAAACCCGATCAAACAAGACCGGTTTTTCTCTATATGCACATTACTATAGAGTGAGTTGGATAAGGACAATCCGGTTTCAACTGGACCGGACTAAACGGTGTGATTTTCGATTGAATAAAAAAATTAAAACTGAATTCCCAGCCCTACTAGTCATGATAAATAAGAATATTATGAGGAACTTTCTAATAGGTTGAGTTACTACAAGGTGATCAATATAGTAAGATCCACATATTATAAGTGTAAGAAAAGCGAGTGATTAATATAAATGATTAACTGAAACCTGCCTCAATAGGGATGACAATGGGGCGGGTTTGTCTAAACTATCACCATCCCCATCTTCAAATACCCAAACTCATACCCGTCCCATACCCATGCGGGGGAATGTTTTGCAAACCCATCTCATACCCGTGGGGGTTCGGATACCCATGGGTAATACCCGTATCCGTACATCCAACATTATTATACCTAAAACTTACAAGAAAAGTTTTAATTATAACTCTAAACGAATCTATTATATCATGAAGTCAACAAAACACACTCATTTTCTTAATACGGTTCAAAGTATATGATCCTAAAACATCCATTAATACATAATGTAGACTCTGATACATCTACTAAGTAATAATTAACTAACATAATCTTGTTGATAAGGGGGAAAGTGAAAGAGTGAAAGGAGAATTGAGGAAAATGAATTAGATTTTAATTAAACTGGTCATTCAATTGCATTTCTACTATTTATTTCCTCGAGTTATCCTCATCACCATTGATAGATTACAATTTAATCCAAATATCCTTTTATATGTGAAAAAATTCTCTTGGTAGGGCGGATATGGGTATAGGGCGGGGGAGACCAAAATCATACCCGCCCCATACCCGGTCAAAGCGGGGATTCCCCACATTGACTGTGTGGGGGCGGTCGGTTACCTGCGGCCATGAGTTTGATTGTCATCTCTATACCCCACCAAAACCGGACTACTATAGTAGTCCCATTCTTTTTGCCTTATTTAGCTATTTTTTTTTTTGTGTATTACCAAAGTGCCCATTGATGATTGATGGCAGCAGACCTCAATTGTAAGCAAAAAAATTTAATACTCGTATAATATTTGTATACGTACTAAATGCGTTTAAAAATCTTGCTACATATTATTGTAGAGTCGTTTCCTTGTTCCTCTTTTATGCGTACTAACATCGTAGTAACACATCAAATTCACGTATTTTAAGGAATTGAATTGATAATTTAATAATTTTCAATATTTATATTTAGTTTTAAATCTATAAATTTAGCATTTATTATAACTTGTGCTATACTTTTAGACGTGCTGCCATGTTATAATGATGAATCAATTTTTGTATGTATTAATTCCGTAATATAAATATGTCATATTCTTAGTATCGCCTCGTACTTGCATGAAATATAAATAATAGTTTTTTTCCTGAGAATTTGCTATATAGCTAATAACATAAGATAGTTTCCTCGCTAAACATAACGACATAATATAGTCTCATACTCATACTAGCGAGAATCCAGACATTAGAAGGAAGTGGTTTCTCTGTTTTTATTTCTTTTGTTGGGTCTGGGGTGGACCATTAAAGTGTAAGGAAATAAAGATCATGGCAGACAGATTTGGGCCAACCTACTGGCCCAAATTCCGACCAATAGAAATTTTCTGGGTCAGGTCAGGGTCAATTCTTGGCATCCAGAGAGGTATGAGTTGGACACATGTGAGAACGATTATGACAAAACTAAGGGTTCACCTTATTAACTTTTCCCGTGTACTGCCTTTGTGTCAATGTGCTAAAGAGGTTCGACTTCGGCTCATGGCTTCGTAGTATGTACGACTTTTTTTTTTTTTTCTGCCTATGTTTGGCTCGAGTTTTAAAAGTGTTTTTCGATTTCAAATGTTGAAGTAGGGCCAAACATCTCTAAGAGTTTGGCTTTTGAAAAGCCGAAAAACGTTTTTGTATAACATAAAAGCAAAAGCTCTGATTTGCAACTTCTGCGAAAAGTTGTTTTAAAAATACAAGATTATAATTACATATTTTAATTTTATTTCATTTATATCATTTTAAAAATAAAATAAAGTATAAAATCATATTATTTAATATAAAAGAAGTGTAACAAGATCCATTTTGACTATATTTTATTGTTTAGAATTATTATTCATAATTTATATTATAAGTTCTTTATAGTAATTTTACACAACCTCTCATATTAAAAAGCACTTTTAATAAATGTTCAACCAAACACTCAACTATTTTTTTTTTGAAAATTACTTTTCTAAAAGCTCAAGGCAGAAGCTGCTTCTGCAAAAGTTACAACAGGGCCAAACTGAGCCTCTATAAATTATTGACTTTTCTTTCTCTCCTTGAATTTTGAAGAATCGAATGAAAAAAAAGAAGAAATTATCTCTACAATTGACACACATATGTAGAAGAAAAGTATAGTCCTATATCCCACTGTACAATTTGATCGAATTCCTAATTTATGACAATATCCATCGGTTCTATTCAGTCTGTAAACTAGTATGGTATCGATTCAATAAATTATTATTTTAGATTCACTCGAATTACATGTCCCATCGTATAAATCATAATTATAATAATGAATATCATTTCACTAACTTATACTATACGATTTTCAAATACGATATTATGATGTACGGAATATGCTCTCGCCATCGTATGCCAAAACTTATACGATATACGGAATATGATAATCCTATTCGGTACATCGTATAAGTTTTGGCATACGATGGCTCTCTCTCCCTTTCAAGTGTCAACTCCCAGCAAACGGGGGATCGTAATGCAACTTTCTTGCTTGTTCGTAACAAAGTCTTTATTACAAATTCAACTGCGTTTCACACCATCGGCATGCTCTAACACGATACTACAGATAATATGGTACTGGTGAACTTGATGAATGAAAGCGCCACAGAATTCTCTGTCCAAGCAAAGCTGTAGCATAGCTAACTACCATCACCTTTTCATTTTTTTTTTTTTGGCTTTCTCTCTATTACTATCTGTCAACATGAAAAGTTTGTTCTGTCGTGAGAGGAGTTACACCATCTAATTCATGCATTGTGGAGTTTATTCATATTTTTTGGTGATTATCCACCATTGAAGTGTTCATTTTTTCCACTAATGATTTGTATTTGCCATATTTGATGAAGTCAAATTTTAAATTTTAAATTTTTCAAAAAAAAAAAAAAGAGTTGCATTCATCATAATTTACATGATGACATTCATTTTGATTAGGGCTGGGAAACGGTGCGGTCTGGTCCAGACCAGACCATATATACGGTCTACGGTCCAGACCGAGAGGCTAAAATATAGACCACAGACCAGACCACAGACTATACGGTCTGGTCCAGACCACGCCTGTGCGGTCTGGTTCGGTCTGGTCTGGTCCAAATAGACCACACTCAACGAAAAATGAATAATTTGTTTAGTCAATCACACAAAAAATTGAACCAATAACCAAGAAAAATAATTGTTATTTGCCTTAAAACATTATTCCTAATATGCATGAATAATTTTGATACTCTAAATCTTAGTACATAACAAAGATACAAAGTAAAAGCATCCCAGCTTGCACCATAATGTCATAAACATTAACATAATGTCATAAACATTAACATAATGTCATATGGAG